CATCCATCCATCCATCCCATCCACCTACCTACCTACTTACTTACCTACCTACCCATCCATCCAGCCATCTATCTAGCTATCTATCTATTCATCCTCCATCCATCCATCCATCCATCCGTCCGTCCATTTGTCTATCTATCTATCTATCTAATCTATCTATCTATCCATTGTTCGTCCGTCCGTCCGTCCATCCGTCCGTCCATCCGTCCGTCCAAGCCACTGCTGAAGGACCATTCAGAGACTCTATCATCCATAAACTCCAAAAAGCATCTTAAAAGTCAAACAGTCATTTCCAAATGTTGAATTGAAACTTTGCATGATGGGATATATCAAGTCAATACCGATGCTTTTTTGCATAACAGGTTATTTATATCATGATGGCAGAAGATGAATGAGTTGACCCTCATTCTTCAGTCTGTTTCCATGGCCTGCGGCTGCCTCTTTCCCATCAGTTTTTCTAAGCTGTTTCTATTTAAAGTACAGCAACTGACTCACTCCTGCCATATAATTACTTCCTCACTGACGAGGCGCCGCCTTTACTGCACAGTAAATGAGACGTGAAGAGAAAGAGAGGAAGGGCGGAGGCCGCAGGGAAATCCCTCTAAAATGGGGGTATCCCCCCCTGATAAAGGAACCCCACCCCCACTCCCATGTTTTTCGCCCACTACCTTCTGAAACCCACAAGCACCATATGTGACGTCTGGAAACTGTAACTTGCAGCGCCTGCGTTTCCATCCCATCTCTTTTTCCATGCCTCACCACAGGAGCGTGGCCACGTATGCCTCTAATTTGTTCCCAATGGCGGGAAATCCATTCCCATCCTCAACCATGGGCCCACACATCCTGCTGCTGTGGAGGAGGAGGGGGAGAGAGAGAGGAGTGAGTTCACAGCTGAGAGCGGGAAGAAACAAAGCTTGAGCCGAGGTTGACAATTTGTAGAGACGACAAATATCACATATGTTCACGAGGTGCAACGTGTGGGTACGAAAACGCCGAACAACGACGTGCAGGAACCTCAGCGGCTCTGAATCAGTGCTGACGTAGCAGTTCCACTCCTGCAGAACGCAGCCAGTCTGGCAGACAGAAAGTCAGCCGTAACGCTGCCTCACTGTCGTTTCGTCAAAAGTGACTTCTGGAAGTTTCCTGCAGCAGTTTGGAAACAGTTACGTGTATAGCCTGCATCAGTCATGCATCATCAATGAGTATTTTCTTCCAGTTTGTTTACATTAAAAAAGGAACTCTACTTACTCTGAATTAGTGATGGATGAATTCCTAAATTTCCTGGAGGGAACTCTGAAGGGATTAATAAAGTTATATCTTTCTAGTAAAGTTTTATCTATCTATCTATCTATCTATCTATCTATCTATCTATCTATCCATCTATCTATCTATCCATCTATCTATCTATCCATCTATCTATCTATCCATCTATCTATCTATCCATCTATCTATCTATCTATCTACTGGGCTGTATCAGATTTTTTGATTCGTTACTAATTCCTTTTTTTTGGCTTTATAGTTTTTGATGCCGATATCAATACTTTGTGTAATTTCTTTTCTACCCCAATATGACAAATACTGGTCATTTTTAGGTTTAGGTTTATAGGGACAAAGATTGTTCAAATGTTCAAAAACCATAATCTTTCTCATATCCTGTGATCAACTTCAGTTCTGAGTTAATATTCTGACAATTGTTATTATTTTGCTTATTGATCAGACTTATATTTCAAAATGTATATTTCCTCTGTCAACAAATGTATCTGCTGTACTCTTTCTGTTAATAGCTATGGCTGTTATGAATTAGATACCCCAGTAGATGGCGATGGTGAGCTATATCACTCCATAAATAAATTTGCGCAACGGTGAGTTGCATCAATCAGCGCGTATTGCTCAAAA